CAAATTTAATCAAATAAATTTATATAATAAATAAATGAAAATTAATTTTTTTTATATATAGTTCTTATTGAGTATTTTTACTTAAATTAAAAAAATTTTAATTCTTATTTATTTATTATATAAAATCATCAAATTAATTTAGATAAAATTTAGAGTTCAAAAAATAAAAAAAATAGAGAAAATACATTTTTGTAATTTTTTTATTTTAAATTATATAATAAAAATTAATTATCTACTATTCCTGAATCGACCTCACCCACGCATCACATATTCGAACCTATAATTTCTTTTCTTGCTTTTGTTAAAAGGGAATTACCACTTAAAGTAACTATTTAGGTTTTTATAGTTTCCTCTATATAAATAGCAATTAAATAGAAACACAAGAGACACCTTACAATGGCTATAAGTCAATTTGTAAGGTATATCCCTTAGAATTGAGTTAAGGTTCGAATATCTTACCTCTAATTATAAATTCATTCAAAAAGATAAAAATAAGAACACAAGAAGCATTTAGGTTTCATGGTTCAATAACTATAAACCATATAATAAGATATACCCTCTAATTCAAAAGTTGAAGTTTGAATATCTTCACTCAAAATGTACATCAGTTCAAAAAAAAAAAAAAACACGAGGAGAATATCCTTGTAACTTAATGGCCACATTTTTTTTTTTTTACAATTTGTAATTATTTATAGGGTTAATTGGGGGAGAAAAAAAAAGAATTCTGTGAAGTTCGAACGTGCAACTTACTGAAGGTGAATAACCCTAACCTAAGATTCAGTGTCACTGGACCAAAGTGAGCCGTTCTAATAGCTACATTTTTGTTGTAAAAAACTTTATGTACAAAGTTTAGTGAGTATGGGTTTGACTCCCAACCTCAATGCTCAAAAAACAAAAATCTAGTGGTTCCATATTTCATTGTAAATTGCATCCCTCAATCATAAATTGGAGGTGGAATCCTCTCACCAAATTGTAATTTTTTTTAAAATAAAATAAAATAAAATAAAAACACAAGAGATATATCCTAAGTCTGAACGCAGATGATAATCCCCTACGAGGGGATGGATGCATGAAGTGTGCCACGTTGCCACTTCTCTTGTTGGTGCCAAAAATGCCATCTTTATCTCTCTCTTACACTTCGCCACTCTCTCCTCCCCTCTCTCTCTCTCTCTCTCTCTCGCTCCACTATATATTTCCACAAAACTGCTAACGTCCTCTCCTTTTTTTCTCTCTCTAGGGTTCTTGATTCTCTCTCAGTTTCTAGAGAGAGAAATTCTTCAACGGAATCCAACTGCATATCAGATTCGAATCGTCCTCATCTCCGTCGAACCGGAACCTGATTCGTCGATCTGATCCGGTTCTTCTTGGAGCTGGAATTAGGTAGATTTCGGTCAAGGATCTCTGCTTTTCTGAATATTCTCCTTAGATTTTATTCCTAGTATGCATTTTTGGTTTTGTTTCATGTGATTTATCAGCTCAGAAATCAGTCAGGATTTTGAATTGTTAGATTTTTTTTTTTATTTATTGGTTTCTTCCTTTGATTTGTGTTGTTCTTATTTACACGTGTGAAGAAAAGAATGTGTTGATATATGTCGATTATGTGTTTAACATTTTTTATTGTGATAAATGAGCAGATCAGCTGAATTTTGTTAATTATTCTTTGTTACAAACAGGATGATCCTGCATTTGTTGGGGACAATGGATATTTTTTTGAATTATAAAGTTATTATGAGTTGGATTTAATGATATTTGGATAAATTGCAATTGGTCTGGACAATTTCTAGATTCTGGAATCATTTTGCCGGAACCCAGAAAAATTTTCTTCTGTTCTGCGAAATAATTTGAAGTTCTTCTTCTTCTTAGTTATTATTTACTTATTTATGTATATTTGTATGAATATTTGTTCATTTATGTTGAAATTGAATGGCGTTATGTTTGAATCAACCAATGCATTTTAGTGGGGAATTTCTTTAACATTTATGCTTCTTTTTTTTTTTTCTTTGCAGCTTTCCACTGAGTTGAAGATCTGCCATTATTGACCATACTGTTTGATTTTAGATGGTATGCAACAGTTGCATACGAAGTGTGATTGTTCAAACCGGGCAGATAGGAATTTTCACCCCCAAACGGGTGCATTTAAGGAACACTCAAAGGTTTCTGCACGTTGGCACTGGATTAACTTCTAAGTGGAACTGTGAATTTCCAACTAGCTTAAGGATGATGGTTGATTCAGGTGCAGCAGCAAAACAGGGGCCTGCTGTTGACGTATTGCCACAGAAAGATGATAATGCTGGATATGTTAGTGGAGGGTGGAAAAGGTAAACATGAGTTTCTGTACTTATAACTTCGGCAATAATTATGAGCATGACCACCAATGGTGAGGATAGCATGCACTTATTTGATTATTTATTCATACTTACTTTTTTCTTAGCATATTTGGCTCTAAAACTTTATTCCTGGAGACGAAATTGTTACTGTAAGTTGTTAGAGTGTCTCAAAAGCCAGACTTTCTTTTATAGAAAAAAAAAAAAATACAAACTTCTTTCAATTATTATTATTTTTATTATTTGAAAAATAGTTAGTCAAGAATAATACTGGAGAATAACTTCTTATTTAATCCCTTTTATTTTATTTTTTTACCATGGGTCCCAGCCCAGGTAATAAAAGCTTAGTTGAGTTAGTACCCACAAACTTCAAATCCTTGATTCTAGGGTCAAGGTCGGGGGTTTGAATCCCCAATGCTAAGCAATGACATCCTTTTTCTGATGATAAAAAAAGAGGGATGAAAAAAGAAGTAAATTTTTTACCTGCAGGATATCCAAGATTACTCATTCTCTTTTGGGTTTCTATGACATTCCAGAGTTTCTCTATCAACCTTTCTTGAGTTCCTTCATATTGCCTAAATTCTTCCTCCCTTACCCTTCATAAATGTTGCAGCAGATACCTCATGAGTAATGAATGATACACCATTTGTCTGTCTACTAGCATTTGCATTTTGTCTATAAGAAGTTATATCTGGTGCCATTAGCTGACTGTGCAATTACAATTTAATTCAACTCATGCTTATGTAGTTGGGGTTTTCTCTGATTTTACAGCGAAGATGGCAAATTAAGCTGTGGCTATTCAAGTTTCAGGGGAAAAAGAGTGACAATGGAGGATTTCTTTGATATTAAAATGTCCAAGATTAATGGGCAAACAGTCTGCATGTTTGGAATCTTTGATGGTTAGTTCTCTTCTGTCTCTTGCCTTTTAGAAGGATATGAAAACCAAGGTCATTAAATAATATATAAGGCTAGATTACATAGACACAGAAGGTTTTCAACTTAAAGAAATAAAACTGTTTTGTCCAGCAGTCAGTGGTTTTCAACAAGCACGTTTCTAATGGAAGTAATTTGGGGCAAAGAAATGCTAAATACATTTGAGTTTGTTAGGCATAATATGTATGATCTATATATTGGTTCTTTAAATGTATGAAGTGAATGTAGGTTAGGGTCACAAGGCACTGGCAAAGATACAAATAATAGCCTGACTGCCCAAGTTTATGATGTTCTATGAGGAGAAGATAGACCATGCATGGGATTATCGCAACCCTAATTAGCCTTTTAATCTTATTTAAATAAGTTCATGTCAGAGGAGATATAACTATAGGTTTTTGTTATGATGATTACCAAGCTAAGTGCATGACTAGTTTTATGGTGCCTATAAATAAACAAACAAGTTTCAAGCCATGATGATCCAACAACTAACTACTTTTCCCCAAAAAAGACAGTCTTTTATATGAAATTTTTTTTTTGCCATCTTTTCTGTGAAATTTAAATACTGTTTTTTTTTTTTTTTCTGAAAACCATCATGTGTTTGTACAGGGCATGGTGGTTCTCGTGCTGCAGAGTATTTGAAGGAACACCTTTTTGAGAATCTTATGAAGCATCCACAATTTATGACAGACACCAAAACGGCCATAAGTATGTTTCTTTTTTTTTTTTTGCCATCGGCCATAAGCATGTTTAAGATCTCTGTTTTACTGAATTTTATGATCATTTGGATTTGGTATATCCTTGTCAGTATTTTTGTTTTCTTTTAATGGACATGTGGCTTTATCCAATGTGAACTGCTTTCCAGTGAATTTACTTGATTGTTTTTTCTTGATTCATTGATATTCTGAATATAATTGCAGGTGAAACATATCAACAGACTGACAAGGAATTCTTGGATTCTGAAAGAGATACCTATCGAGATGATGGTTCTACTGCTTCAACTGCAGTATTGGTAGGTAGCCACCTATATGTTGCAAATGTTGGAGATTCACGGACAATAATATCCAAGGCCGGAAAAGGTACTATGATTTCTTAAAAATATAATTTCATGTGAAGCCTAATACTAATGAAAAATGTTTTTTCCTGTGTATAAATTTTAGATTTATGTATCAAAATCAGATGTAAGATTTGTTGTGTTGGTTCTTTTGCATCTGCAAGAAATGAAGCACCATTGGCAGTTCCACATTAAGTGGTATTTATAGGGATAATCATAAAATGTTTCCTTCAGTGTACCTGAGATGGTAGAGTTTGCTTTATACTTCACAAGATGAAGTATGAATCAATTGTAAGTCAAGCTTAAGTGTGGTCACTTGGTATTTAAAGTTGCTAGGGTAATTTAATGAGTAACATACACAAATAGCTCCATTGGTAGTTTTGTTTTTAGGCTGAATCAGTCCAGTATTTGTTAAGCATGGCACTGAAATGAGGCCCCTTTTTGTTGTCACTGCTACACATGGTGTTCATATTTGACTAAAATATATTTGCACTACACATGAAATTGAATGTTTACCTGAATTTGTATGTTTTCTTTTTCCTTCCTTCTGAAGCAATCCCTTTGTCTGAGGATCACAAACCGAACAGAAGTGATGAACGGGAGAGAATTGAAAGTGCTGGAGGTGTTGTAATGTGGGCGGGTAAATTTCTCTAAAATCTACCCTGTTTTATTGAAGCAAAAAATGGAATTCCCTTTATAGTAGGTACATTGGGTAAATTTGAAGTTTCTAGCTCCTGAATGGGGGAATTTATCATTGAAACTATTCTAGTTGATCCTGTTATCAGGTACTTGGAGAGTAGGAGGTGTGTTAGCCATGTCTCGTGCTTTTGGTAATCGCATGTTAAAGCGATTTGTTGTTGCAGAACCAGAGATTCAGGTGATCCACTTAATTTTGTACTAATAAGCTAGTAATCTTTTTATTCATCTTAATTTTCTGCAGGGGGATGTGGTTTCATACTTTCTCCCTATTGATTGCTGGTTAATAGGATTCGTGGGGACAAAGTTTCATCTCAAGAAAAAGTGAATGGCTTGATTTGCAGTTTAATACTTCCTAATTGGTGGCAGCTATCCAAATTTAGTAATTCAGTATTCTAAGACTGTTGCTACTGCTGATGCAAAATGCGTCCTGTGGGGTCAATGAGGGTTGCAAGTGTGAACTCAAAGATATTGTCTTTGTGCTTATTCTTCATTATTGTATTAAATTTGATGATATTGACCCTTCAGCCCTCCTTTTCTCCTTTCCTATGGTCTTTTTCTCCTTTCCTATGGTCTTTTTCCTTTATTCCACTATTTCCTTGTATAGCTAAGGCTTTGCTGGATATTTGCTTTCTGAATGGTAGGGTATTAAAGTGGATATATGAAAATATATACTCTCTTTTTAAGTAATTTTATAATTTCTCAGGATCAAGAGATATGTGAAGATTTGGAGTTGCTTGTGCTTGCAAGTGATGGACTGTGGGATGTAGTTCCCAATGAGGTAAACCTTCTGTGTCTTATCTGCGAATGAATTTTAGCTATATACTAGGATGTAAACAAAAAAATTACAAGGGGCACAAAGGACGAATAATGAGATCGGTTGATTGGACACGTGGGCAACTGGTCATTAGGATTTCAGGTGCATCCTTTGTAGGATTTCTCTACATGTCGCCTAATTATTTTTTGAATTTTGTTCTGAAGGATGCCGTATCTCTAGCCCAAACCGAAGAAGAACCTGAGGCAGCTGCTCGGAAGTTGACACAGACTGCTTTTACTCGTGGAAGTGCTGACAACATAACATGCATTGTGGTGAGATTCCACCACAAGGAGGCAGATGAAGCCAGTCCCCAACCTGAGTAGAAATCGGTCTTTTATTGCATGTGTCGATTTTGTTTAACATGTTAGGTGATCTAATTTTGAAATCTACACATGCTCATAATGTCAGAAACATGCATATCAAGGGACAATTTGTTTATTCATTGTTTTATTTTCCTGATTTGATCTTGCATTGAATTACATGGAATATATGTACCCTTCTCTCCCTAGAACTTGTTCATAAATCTATTTTCTGGCCATCTATCATGTTGTTATACTAAAATCTAATAAAGGCTTAAATCTGTTTTCTGTCTATCTTAATTTTTTATCATGTCAACTTAGTTCTCCTTAAAATTTTATTTAATTTTCCCTGGAAATATTCTATTCTTCTGCTCTTGGACTCAGGTGTTGTTAGCTTAGTTGTTACTTCTGGAGTCTGCTTATTTTGAATTTTGGTGGGTTGAATTCAAACACTGCAAGCCGTTAAAGCATGAAATTCCTATTCTAATCTGATTATTTTCGTGTTATTTTCAGTCTCGATCTTCATGGTTCTTTCCGTTTTGTGTTGGTTTTTTTTTTTTTTAATGAACAAATGTAATTTGAGGGTAAGAGATGAAAAATTATAATACGATATTATAGTATAAATCTTAATTATTGTTAAGGCATTAAATGTAGTTGCCAGGTGGTTACGAGGTCTGCTGCAATTCTTTCAGCTCCGTTGCTGACCAACAAAGTACAAACGCTACATTTCTAGGAGCTCTAGCTTGGAGCCTCGAAATTAGGGTGACGCTGTCTCCAAGGAACATGTGCTGCTATGGACCCACTTGTAAATTGAATAATGATAGATGAGTTAAAATTTAGAATAAATGATTAAAAGAAATTATATCATTTAAAAAATTAAAAAATAAATTTTATATTATTTAATAATTAATTCTTTTTATTAATGTTATTTATGCCAACAATCAGGCTGAGCTTTTGGGCTGGTTCTAGGTTGAAACCAGTTGTCTTGGTGGTTATGAGATTGTGGACAGCGATTATCCGACTGACCCGCATATACGGTGCGTTAGTTTGTTCTTGGTCTTGGGCGGATTTCAATTTCGGTTTGGACTTTGGGGGTGAACTTCTTCGGGTATAAGTTGGCTATGAATTATATTTGATATTTGATTTGAAAATTTTTTAATATAATTTTTTAAATTTTGTACTTGCTTAAATATTTAAAGATTTATATTTGATATTTATCTCAATAGGTACAAATAACTTGTATGTATATATTACTTACCTAAATTTTTATATTTATTCAAACAAATAAAATATTTACAAATAATAAATGTATCTCTACCTAATGCTCACCTCATTTAATTGTCTTTTAAAGTTTCTCTCTACTTTTTGAATATAAATATAGTACAATTAATATTCTGGGTAAATTAAAAAGGAAATTTTGACCACGGTGAAATTTCCTCCTTCCCTAAACTCCCCACGTTAAAGGGAAAAAAAAAAAAAATCAACCTACTAAAATCTAACTAGTTTCTGACAGGCTCAAGGAGATCGTGACTAATGGGTAACAAACAGTGAATAGTAATAGTGGTTAGTAAGTAATAATAATTAGTCGATAGTGAAAAACAAATGATAAATAATAGATAGTAAATTTGATTAATATAATTATTTAGTTATATAATAATTAGTAATAATTGTTTAATGTTAAATAACTAATAAGAATATCTTTAAAAATAATTAAGTGTATTTTTTTATTTTTATATATTTTATTATTAAAATTATTAAGTTTATAAAAATAATAATAAGAAAATAAATAAATTATAGTAATGTAATCACACACTCATTTTTATCTTTAACAAAAAAATTATGTTATTTTTAAATAAAAAGTTTAATTATTTCGTCTAATTATTAAATTTTATTTATTAAGTTAATATATATTTTTATAATAAATTAATATAAAAAAATATGATAATCAATTAATGTTGTTAAAGACAAAAAATGAAGTTGAAACTAATTAAATAAGTACTAATTAAAAATTGTGGCTAAAAATTAAAAAGTTAAAAATGATAAATTTGTTAATAAAATTAAAAAAATTTAATCCACTAGTAGTATAGTATAAAAGGTTAAAAGGTTATCTAAGAACCTATTTGGTATAGTGGTTTTGGAGTATTAGTTAGTGGGTTTACTTACACTACTAAAGATGTGTATTTGGTAAACTTATATATTTTGAAACCGCTATAAATAAGATATTTGATAAAAAATTTTATTTAATAGTTTAGAACTAGTGGATAGCTATTATGATCCAAACTGCTAGTATGAAAAAGATAAATTATGTAGCTTTTTGTATCAAAACCACTAGCAAATTGAAACTTTTTTAATTTTATTAAGAAATTTATCCTTTTTAATTTTCTAATTTTTAGCCATAGTTTTTAATTAATATTTATCTAATAAATTTTAATTTTATTTTTTACCTTTCATAACATTAAGTGATTATTATATTTTTATTTTTACATTAATTTATCATAAAAAAATATTATCTTAATATACAAAATTTTCTAATTAGATAAAATAATTAATTGTTTTACTGAAAAATAATATAATTAATATAATTTTTTCTTTGTTAAAAATAAAAATAAGGGTGTAATTACATTATTATAGTTAATTTTATTTATTTATTTTTTTATTAGTACTTTTATAAAATTAATAATTTTGATAATAAAAATAAAAAATATTTAGAAAAAAATATACTCAATTGTTTTTAAATATGTCATTATTTGTCATTTAATATTGAGTAACAACAGTTAACTATTATATAACCAAATAGTTATATCCATCAAATCCGCTATCTACTATCAACTATTCACTATCAACTATTCACTATCTACTATCAACTATTCGCCATCTACTATCTATTATTTGTCATCTGCTATCCACTAACCACCACTTGCTACCCATTACCGTTACCTGTTACCACTATCCGTTATTTGCTACCCACTACCCGTTATCCATTGAATTTTAACCGTTATACCAAACAGGCTTTAAGCTAGTTTTTTTCAATTTACTAGCAGTTGAGAATCTAACCGCTATTTATTTGTTCTAAATCATTAAGTAAAATTTTTTACCAAGTACTTTATTTGTGGTGGTTTCAAAATACACAAATTTGTCGAACATCTACCTTCATCATTTTAGACAAAATCGCCAACTCTTAATCTCAAACCGTTATACCAAATGGCCCTAAGTTTATTGGGTCTGTTTGGCTCCAAAATAAATTCTAATAGGAAAAGTTTTATTGAAAAACTGGTTAGAATTTAAAATGTCTGAAAATTTGATAGATATTGTACAAAAGATTAATAAATTTTGTTAGAATTTTGTTAAGCTATTAATTTTTATGTGTTTAGTAAGAAATAGGTACATGAAAAGTTGATAAGAAACTTACTAAGTGCATCCCTATATAGGAGAAATTGGGAGAAAACTTTTTCCTTTTAAAGAGTCTAAAAAAAAAAAGTTTATAAGTTACAAATTGTGTCAAAAAAAATAAAAGTTTAGAATATCACTTTTACTCTTGTTTTGTTATAATATTAATGTATGAAAATATGTAAATAGCCTTGAAAGGAAGAAAAAGTTTTGAAAACTTTAAAGAACAAAGTTTCCACCAACCAAATGTCCCCTATAATCGAATCGGACCTTTATGTCCAATAGTTCGACTCCAAACTTTAAGTGCTTAGATGAGATGGTTGGGGTTTCGAATTTTACCACCGTCTTGAAAACTCCTTTCCCCCATCCCTCAAATTGTACACTGTTAAAAAAAAATGTCCCCTATAATCAATTATATTTTAAAGTGGATTTTATAGTAAGCTACTTCAAACTTATAGTTTCATATCTCAAATATTTTCGAAAATAATATAATCATAATGTTACATGATATTTCCTATTTCCTTTTTTTTTTCTTTTGGTTTTAGTGTTTTTATTTTACAAAAATAATATTTATTTGAATATTATCAATGAATATAAAAATCATCTTATTCAATCTCATTTTAAGTTTTACCTTATAAATTTTTTAATAATTTAGTATTTAAATCTAAAATATATTTAAAAATAAAAAAATAAAATTCAAAATTCATATTTTACGTTTATTTATCCATCTTTTTTTGCATTTTATTATATTTATATCTCTTAAGAATTTCAAATTTTGGTTAAGTATAATCATTATTAAATTTAAAATAAACATTCATTGATTTAGTTATATCCAATAACCAAAATGATAAAACCAATTATTTTGGTTAATGAACCAAAAATTTATAAACATATTTTTGTTTTGGTTTTGTTACTATAAAATGGGAAAAAAATAAATAATTTAAATATTAATTTTGGTTAGACCAAAATTAAACCGTGCCCAACCCTACCTATGACCAATTTAAGTCTCAGGTTTAACCATCTCTAGTTTAGTTAGGGGGTTGGTTCAAACAAAGAAGATTAAAGATGAAGAAAAATGAAGAAAAAATGAAAAAGAAAAGAAAAGAAATGAATTCAGGGAGCACAATTGATTATGGATTCTGCATCAAGCTTCAACCAAACCAAGTGTCCAGAGCAGTGGCGAGTTACACGTGATTTACAACTTTACGACAATCTGAGTTCAGTGACGCGGCAGCCAATAATCGTTCAAAAACAGAAACTGTGGTAAGTGAAAGTCGGAAACGCCCCTTTCCCCCGCACTCTCTCTCCATCCCTTCCAAATTGTCTTTTTCAAGCCACCACGGTCAATTTCTCCCTTTTTTTTTGTTTTTTCCCCCTTCTTCTTCTTCTTTAAAAGTATAATGTATAATTATGTCTTCATTGACTATTTCATATATTATATTCAAAAAAAATTTATGCTTTTTTTTTAAATAATATTTTTAAATATTGTTTATTTTTATATTAAAATTAAAAATTTAAGAATAATTTTTATTTTTATTTATTTTATTTAAAAAAAATTTAAAATAAATTTTTTAATAATAAGATAAATAATTAAAATTAATAAATAATTATAAAGTTAATGTATGAAAAAATATTTATTTTTTTAAAATATGAAAAAAATAATTATTATTTTAAGGTAAATTTTAAATTAAAAAAAGTTTATTACTCTATAACAAAGAGAACATTTACTGTGTTTTTTTTATCTAAAAATAACTATATATTTTTTAAAATTTTTTTTCTAAATTAATATTTTAGGGATAATTCACATATTTATTTATTTTATTTTTTTAAAAAAAATTTAAAAGATAAAAAATATTTTTTTGATAAAATAATTAATCAAAATTAGATAATAATGGAGTTAAATTAAAAGAATATTTATAGCTTAAAAAATATAAAAAAATACAATTAATTTGAGATAAATTTAAACTTAAAAAAATAACAATTATTTTAAAATAAAAGAGTAGGTACTTTGCTTAAAATTTTTGGTAAATCAATAAATGTGGAAAATTTTTTTGGTAAATATTAAATAGGTTTTTCTATCATACTATGA